GCTGTGGAATAAAAAGTGCTGCTAAAAGCATAAACAACTGTGTTAAATCATTTTCATTTATTCAGAAGACACAGCGCTGCGCACCCATTGCATTTTGTTTTTATTTTACAAATTTACACAAATTTCCCAAGTTTCTCAGAATTAGGTTTTAAGTAGGGGTGTTCCGATACCAAGCATCAATACTGGGTACCAGGTTACAACTTAAACATTACACTATGACTTTAAAAACACATTTATTTTATTTAGAACAGCCCCTCGGACTGGATCAAATCAAATATGTAACATGATGTACCAGAGATTTTTAACCCTTGGGCTGCGACCCACAATTGGGCTGTGATCACCACTTTGCGGGCCGCAAAAAAAAAAAAAATTTTTTTCAACTGTGGGCGGTGAGGTCCTCGAGATGTCATTGGATGTCTCAATTCACAGGCTGCATCCTCATGAGTACGTAGCCCAGCTGGGCCACATCCGACTCAAATGCGTTGGGACGTGTATTCACTCTTTTCACAGGAAGAATAACTTCACATTTAAAACATTACACGTAAAAAAAAAAGAACATTAAGAATTTGGGTTTAGCTCCAGTATCCGTATTTGTAGTAGCATCTTATTTAGCATCTTATCGCAGAATGAATTTCATCAGCTATGTTACTAAACTTGTATTTAAAAACAAATTCTTCAGACTGTGATGAATTTCCAAACTACGCTGACTTGGTCAAAAAAATCAATATAATATAAAATCTTTATTTTTCCATCGGTGCGCTCATTCCTGGGATATCCTCGGCCGGGAAGGATATCCAGGATACTCAGATGCATCCTGGATTTTAGAGATTTTGTGGGCCTCATTCCTCGGCCGCATGAGGAGGAGCYTTCTAATCGGTGCGGCCGACAAATGTGCGTTCATGCAGCCCATGAATTAAGACACAGCCATTGGTTTTCAAYTGACTGAGTTGTAATACACTTTCTCACCACTAGTAGTGGTAGTGCGCCATTAGGATGTTTAACAAATTTTTAAATATGTAAAAGAAGAACCTTAGCCTACTGCTAGCAATAATTAAGGAATTGGAAACATATTGAAATGMTGAAGGCAAAAACATGAAGAAAAACCTGCCAAAATGACCAAAATTGTTCCTAAGCATAATGCAGACTTTATCTGATTTGGTTAGCCGTGGGGCTAACTGTTCAACAAGGCACTAAAGCCCTCCAAAATGAAACAGCATTTAGAATGTGTCACAAATATGAAGAGCAGCTTCTGGTGAAAAACTAATTATTTTTTGTGTTAACGTGTGTTTGTGGTGGTTGGAGGTAATTTAATTGTATAAAAGTTCCAGGAAATGTGAATAATTTAATATTTAGTTGCTCAGGCTGTGTGTGAATGGTGGAGGTGAGATTGTTTTTTTTTTTTTCTTTCATGAAAACAAGATTTTTACCTCTGACTTTTTTATTTAATTTATTTAGCAAAGACTGGTTTATTTTGTTACAGACAAACTCGTGGTGTTCAGTGTGGAACACAAACAACAATATAAGATTAATACAAATTTTAAGTAGGGCCTATGATCTCAGATAAAGTTCATCTCAAAGATTAGTTGTAAATCACAGTTCTACCTTTCAATAAAAACATAACTAATGTTTTTATTAATACTAAGCATTTATAAAAATGCACTTCCAATGAYTAGAAAATGTACAGACTTGAGTAGATTTTTTCTAAACTTTCTGGGGGTAAGGCATCTTGATCCTTCTAGGATCACTTTGTGCTGCTGGTGTATGCTTAAACATTTAGGCATCCCTCATTGTCACCAACAAATGTTGGCAGGTTAGTTCGTCATAATCATGTCTTMTGATTTATTTGACAAGGTCTTTGCTTGTTAAACTGTAAGTGCATTTCACTTAGTCAAAGTGCAAATAAAACACAAATTAAACCAAGAATTAGATCAATTACTACTTTGATCAGTACATTGTTAATATCTGAATGGGCCTTGTTGTATCACTTATGATTCAACGAGTTGGGCCCCAAAATTGAAAAGGTTAAGACATAAGATTTTAATTTGTCATTATGTTACATAACCATAACCACATTTCTGTGTTGCTATCTGTGATTTAAAAGGAAGTAATTATACAAACTACAAAAATTATAAAAATAAAATATCCATTTATGCTGGTTTTTAGTATTGCACTTTGTAGTTATTACACATGAACAGCTGAGTGTGACAGCAACACTAGTAGCAGAGACATGTAGCAGGAGTAGTTAASCCAGTGTTAAAGGCTCTAGCCGATGTTCAGGCGCACTGAACGGGTCTGGATGTGTACACAGGTGGTCCATTGAGAGAATCCCTTACATAAAATGTTGCAACAATTTAAAATAAATAAAAACTAATAAGATTTCATTTTAACTTGTATAAATTTCTTAAACATCACTTGAAATGTAAACTGTAACACACTCAATGGGGTATTTATATTTGTATCTAATATCGATACTGGTATTGGTATCGGTCACCAGTATCGGGCATTTTGTACGAGTAGTTATAAAAATGACAAGTTTTAAGTTTCCTTTTGGGTGTAATAAAACCTAAAAAGAACTTCTGTTGTTTTAACATAAGCAAAACTACTGGGAAAAATCCCAGGTCCACTTCTTTGCCTGGTTTACAAAGAGAATAAAATGTGACTTCTTTCCTAACCTAGTGTTGTTATTGTGTCCTCGCTCTGCTGAACTTGTTGGGCCATCATCCGGCTGATGCTCATGAGGTTCTCTGTGATGCTGCTGGTGTTCTGAGCGAGGTCCTCTTTGGTCAACTTCCTGCCATAAAAGTAGTCAAAATGTTTGTCAAATTAACACTTTATTAAATAAATTAATTATAATAGGTGTGAAAACAAATTTGCCTAAACAGAAACATAGAATTTTATGTTGTCTAATGATACTTTAAAAAAAAACTAATCTGCAGTTTTCGCCTCACCTCTGCCTCACGGTGCTGTCGGCCCCGTTAAGGAGCGCCTGCTTCTCCATGTTGTCGATGGACATTTTGCTGGCGAGGTTGGCTTTCCTCCAGGCTGTYTGGTTACTGCAAAACGCACAAAAAAAGACAATTTTATCAGCAAGTTGTGCTGTGATTCTCATGCATGTCCACACGTTAAAATAAGTAGAGAAATAAATGTTCATATTCATTTAAAAAAACATGTACCTCAGCATTTGCTTTTTATGTCCCTCTACCTGACTGAGCAAAACCTGCTTGTCTGACTCTTTGTCTTGTTCCACTGCCATCCGCTCCAGTTCCTGAGAATAAATATTTAATACATTTCACATTCTCACAAAATAAATACATATAAAAACAGTGCTGTTACTGAGGATGTTTGGCAGAATTAAGCCAAAGTATTAATTCTCACCTGAATCCTTAATCTGAGGCTGTTGAAATGTTTTTTCACATCTGTGTTTATTTCTGTCAGCTTGTTCTGAGGCCCGGTGCACTCTCTGATATCCTGCAGACACACAACAATGTGACAATAAGTGATGCTCTGTGAAGAAGAACATCAACTTAATCTCAGGATTTCGTCATTCTCATCTCCGAAGTTCTCATTTTATTAATCATTTTACTAATTTAGAATCACTATAAATCAAAGAGTGAGAGGAAAAAATAAAGTCCAGTGACAAGTACAATTTTTTTTTAAATACTTGTAAGCAGCAGAAGACACTGATGGTCATGTGTTTGAATTTTTAGGTTTCTATAGTGTTTTATGTAGACATAAGATAAAAAGACATTTCCAGTTTTGGAGAATATTTTGATCTAAAATAGAACAGAAGTCAAGTGTAGCATGGGTGTGCTCTATTAATCAGGTGGGCAATTAATGTTAGTGCATGGTATAAATACAAATAATCATAGATCTTAGATCGCGTTAACACTAAAAAAAGATTTCGAAATGCCAACTTAAACATGAAAAGTTAAACTTTTCACGACGCGCTTACAATTTGAATTATGTTTCTAATGTGAAGTTTGAACTAATGATGTTTTATTTTGTGAAAAATCCCACTGATCTCCTTTACTTTTGACCACAGTGTTTAGAAAACAATTGTCATACTATTTCTAACCAAATCAGATAAAAACAATTCTCTGGGAAAGAGCAAAAACATTTCCAGTATGTATGAAGAAAGTGATTTGTCGCTGGATTTCTATTCATTCCAGTATCGATACATTAGTGAACCGATCCGATCTGATTACGTCATCTTTTACAGACGGACTGATGCGCTGCCGTTTCTTACAGCTAATTTGTGATAGTTTTTGCCTTTGTTTTTATTTCTCACAAGTTATAATCACCTCAAAGTGCTCAAGCGCTATTTTAGCAATTTAATAGTTGTTTATTTTTCCTGAAATACACATAGTTTCACCCTATCAACATACCGGCTGAATGCTTCATTAGCAAAGGCTAAAACGCGATAATTTTACAGATAATTTGAAACGCTAGCGGGTCCTCACGAAGCACTGAGTGGTCTTACCAAATAAATAATCGCACCTGGATGAGAGCTTTAATTTCCAAGTCATATTTGAGGATTTCTTGCTCACAAACTCGGACGTGGACATCTGCCGCCGCCATACTGCCAACGTAGCCGGGGTGTTACGTCGAATTGTGTGACCTTCGTAAAACTGTGCCGCTGTTGCTCCCRGCTAAAACTACGGAAAGCAGGAAGCTCGTTCTGAATTCTTTAGTCGGCGAACATAGATAATAAAGGCTTTTATATCTGTGTCGGTAATGCTCTAATGGATAAATATAAATATATTTATATATTATATTTATATACTTTGTAAATACTTAACACAAATCATTTACCAGTAATACAACATCCAGCTTTGCGTCTAGAAAGGCAGTTAGATGTTTTAGAAGAAAACACAAAAAGTATTCAACAAGTTCAATATATACATTTATTAATTATCTACTGTCCTGGTTACATTCACTAACAAATGGAAAACATTTTTGCAAAGCACACCACAAAACTAATCACATCTCTTCCACGTGAACAACATTAATAAACACAATGTACACAATAATACAAACAAGACAACAAATACAGATGATCAAGTGACATTTCTTCTTCCTTTAGAAAATCATGTTGAACAAATGTAGGCATCACTTCAGAAACAATCACAGAGGTTCTGAGCTTTTAGTAAGTTCAGAAGGAATGATCGTTGCAGGGGAAACGTGCACTGAAATGCAGCAGCGCCGGGCCATCAGACGACAAAAGGAACTGTAACAAAAACAGGTAAYACACTATAAGAAGTGAATTCTAATTTGATGCTGAATTAACATACATACAAAGAGATGTATATGCAATTTGGGTTTAGAAGGTAAAAACGTACCTGCATGATAACGAGTCTTGGTGGAAAAAAGAAAAGAAAATGGAGTTACGGCCAGTGAATACGCAGGTACCAGATGGTGTCGTTGGACAGAGTTGGACCAAACAGTGGATTCAGCTGGGCCAGAATCGCTATCAACCAGCTGAGGGAGAGAAGATGTGCACATCACAAATGTCAAACACATTATGGTTCAAACACACACACTTTCAAACACATCTTATCATTATTACCCAGTTTATTTAAATATGTGCCATTGTTTGTAAGCTTGAAGAGATATTCAACACCGAGAGCCAGAAAGCCACTTYGCCTCTACTGCCCTCTTTTGCCCACTGACATGTAACATGACACAAGCTGCACACTGGCTCCAAACCTTAGTAATAAAAGATTCATGGATGACATAAATGTTTTATAGTGATAGTAATGGAGGGGCTCAGAAACAAAATAAATATTCCACTTACATAATAAATTAACAAATTATGAATAAAAAAACATGAGATGTAAAACGATCAGAGGCTACTCTTAGTTAAAAAAAACTAACATCACACACAAGCAATGCAAACACTAAAACAATATAATAATACTATAATATAATATAATAATAATAATAATATATAATAACAGAGTCAAACCATTACTTAGACATAAAAGGTACAACTGCAGTCGTACATCTGCCAAAAAGGAACAAAAACAAACCAAAAATACAAATTAAAGCATATTGATGCATATATTATTCAGACACAGTTTGGATGTACTAAAAGTCTGGGTGTCCTGGTCCTCACTGAAACCTTTATATCTGTGTCATAATCCCATGATCCTGGATCTTCTTCACAGACAACATAAAGAGAAATCTCATTGAAATTGTGAACAATACTTACAAGAGATAGCAGCTGACAGCAGTTAACACCAACATAGTGACGATTACTCTGTAAGAAAAACAAATAACAGCTGTGACTTATGATTATGATTATGTGTAAATAAAGAAAACATTAGGCTCTGATCTCATGGTTTAAGTCTTAAGAAAGGGGAAGCTGTGTTAACTTTAGCACATGTTCCATAGTCTGGTTTAAGATAGAATATTACAAACCAAAATTTATTTCAAAAGCATGTTAGCAACTTTAGCATAAAAAAGTTACTGAAACTAAACTTTTATTGCAAACATGATATTTTGAGTTAGCTTATTAGCTGCGCTTGACTTTTACAAGTTCGGTTTGAACTTTTTTGAGCTTCTCAACTGACGTTAAAAATCGTGTTTAAGGTCCAAACCCCAATATCTGACTTGATTAAAACTTTCAAATTGTGGCTTCTACAGCAAAACAAAGCGTTAAACAAACTCATTTGGTCGAGAGGAAAGCTAACCCGAGCTAACGAACTCACCCTCTGTTTGGTCCTTTGGGGATGAACCAGGGCACAACTCCTCCAACTATAATCCAGAACAGGGTCACTACGGATATGGTGATAGCAAACTTCTGGTCCGCCATGGTTGGAGCTATATTAAAAAAACAAAAATGTCTAAAAAGTTACTTTTAAGTCGAGGAAACTTCAGAGTTGCCAGAAACAAAACTACCCCGTGACGTTGTACAGAGGCAGCACGTGTCACATGACCAGCAGAAACCGGAAGTACCACATGAGGCCTTTCCATTGGGCCTCACCACACTTTTTTTTTTTTTTCAGAGGGAACTTTGTCTTTTTATTTTCTTCAATAAAAAAGCTATTCGTATTTTTTTTTATTGAAAGCTTTATACAAACCACAAGGCAGTATAACAAATACGTATTCGAATACAAAATAAAGAGGCATAGGTGCAGAAC